TCCCTCTTCATGTTTATAAAAATTGCTAACACCTCATAAATACAAAAAAACCAGACCAATTTTCAGAAAGCTAGATGTGCCTATATCCAATGCAGCAAAACTTTTATTTACCTTCAGGCATATGTGGGATGTTATTACTTTTGGGGTGGAAGGGCTATGGAGATCTCATTATTCCTATTCCCTGGGGTTGATAGTAACCTTGAGAAGGGTGAGGGAATCACACTCCTAAATAAAACTTCAACCATGCTGAGGAGGATCAGTTACAGGATCCTCAATTTTCACCGAATAACATGAAACAGTTGTGATGGAAAGAAAATCAGATCTTGTCAGCCCATCACAGAGGACCAATTCAGCAAATAGGCACACAAGAAATATTGGTGCTATTATACAGGATAAAATAATAATAATAATAATAATAATAATAATAATAATAATAATAATAATAATAATAATAATAATAATAATAATAATAATAATAATAATAATAATAATAATAATAATAATAATAAAGGCTTGGAAGGCTGACCATTTTTCCTTTTCCCTTCCTCTAATACTAAAGGTGGGGCAATCATGTGACCATGACTTTCAATTTTACTTCCTTGTCCTTCATTAAGTCTGCTTGTTGGAAGCCAGTTGTGAAGAACAAAAATGGGGATCACAGGATCATGGGATTTTCTACATCAGCATAAATTTGAAGTCATTAAATGAGGCAATCAGTAAGACACATTGTTTTATTAAGGATTATATTAACTTGTCATGTCCAAGCCAAGAGACAATGCTGAGAATTTCAATTGAGTCCAATCCTTTATTTGCTTGCACCTAATTGGCAGAATCTTGCCAAACTAAAGTTATAACCTTCTAAGCTACTAAATATATCCTGAGAAATTCTAGAGCATGGCAACCCTGAACCTTTTTCTCTCTCCTCCCTCCAGTTTGGGACTATGTGGTTTCTTAATATGGGCCTCTCTTTAGGAAAGCTTGAGTTGCCAAAATTCTCCCCCACTGCTCCCGCAGGTTCACAAAAACACATTTTAAAAAGAAAATGATAGCCTTATTAATCAGCAAAGATCCAGTAAAACTGAATAAACATACTACATAACATAAGTATATAGGCCCTTTCCATTTAGTCTAAGCTCCCCTCATCCTTCTCTTAACAATTACACATTAAAAAAATTAAAAACAATTACCAGAAGTAACCCCTTATTTAGATATCAAAAATAATATTATAAATAATCCACTATACATTTGGCATTTCCAAAAGAAAAACTGTCCAATCCAGATAACAATTAAGCAACTCAGAGCATGATGGAAACCAGGATTCACAAAAATCAGATGTTCAGAGTACATCAATCTCCAGATCTCTCTTTTTTCCAGAGAGAATTTTGGTAATCCAGATCTCATCTAGCTGTCTTTTGGGCCATAATGCCCCCAGGAAAAATGTGGGTGCTGGTTCTCCTTGCCTCACCGGAAAGTCATAGCAAACCAGTCAGTAAGTCCTTGCGGATCAGGAAATCTAGTAAGAATGAGTGGATCAGGAAATCTAGTAAGAGTGGGCAGATCAGAAAATCTAGTAAGAGTGGGTGGATCAGGAAATCTAGTAAGAGTGGGCAGGTCAGAAAATCTAATAAGAGTGGGCTCTGTAAACCTCCCCTTCTACAGAACAGCTTATTCTTCGAGGGGAATGTAGCCTCTTCCTTCTTTTGAAAACTTAAATGTTTTATACTATATAGTAGGCTGGGAGCAGTGCTCTCCAAATCTTGGGAACTGCAGTGCTCATCATTGACCATTTGCTGGAAGGTCAATTCAGTAACAACTGGGAAGACCAAGGTTTTTCCATACATTTCCAGACATCAGATCACAGATGCCATTCCCCTTAGTTGGTGTCCTTGGAGAAGGCAGAAGTATCTCAACCTTAGCCAAGGCTTTTAAAACTTTTGTCTGATTTCTCAATTTGTATCATGTATCTTGCTAGGAAAAGTTGATGTCCAGAACAATTCTGCTTGGTATGTGAAAAGAAAAGCCATGATAGACAAGGTACTAATTTCCCAAAGTTGGGGATAGTAGCATTTGAGAGATGGGGTGGGGTGGGGGTTTGCAGCAATGTATGTTTGGTTGTTTTTATTTAACTGCCTTTCAATTCTTCCAAAGGGTGGGGAAAAAATGATGCCACTACTAAAATACAGTTTGTATTTTGTGTATCTGTCCACATCTATGTACGTGTGTACATGTCAATTAAACAGAAAGATTTCCTTTGTTCTGCTCTCTTTCTTGTCCTCTTCACAACGGCAGGACAACTCCGTTCTTCTGCAGAAGAACTGCAAAATCTTTGGGGCCCTAGCTACCCTGGCCAAGGCCATGAAACAACACTTTTGTTACAAAAGTAACAAAGATGATGTGAGGCATTCTCTGTCATGCCCTTCCACCTGGTATTCCAGGGCAGAATATTACCTTCTATATTACAGTGTTCCAAAGTTTTCCAAACAAAGATAGCTGCACCTTTGATTTGTCAATTAAGAAGAAGGAAATAATCTTCATGATTTGGTAAAATATATTTTATTTCTTCAAATAGTATGAATCAGAATTCCATTTTCCTAGAAACCTCTGTGTAAAATTAATTTGTGTTGTACATACCACAAAATATTCAATTTACAGTTTTGCTTGTCATTTGTTTCCTTTTACAAGTGTACCATTCTAAACCACAACATGTTATAGCAAACTCAAAAATATTGCTAATATCAGGACATACTGCAGTGCTGAATGGAACTCAGCCATAAATTAATGTTATACGGTGAAAAGACATGTAACCAGATTCCAAGTCTTGCAAATGGAACAAAAATTGGCAATATTTATGAAGGCTACTATCTATGCAGTTCAAATATCATATGATATATGCCTCTCATGGCTACTTTATTTAATATTTAGGTAAGGCCTCTTCAATAAATTGGCTTCAGAAGGTTTCCATTGAGTGGGCTGATCAGCCACAATTAGCAGTTCAATATTATAACAGTGAATTAATGGCAATGTCATCACTCAAACAACACTCACACACAGAAAACAAGGTATATGGATACCATACCTATTATGCTTTATGCAACTAGGAAAGTATCCTTAACCCATTCCAAAAAGAGATAAGAAAGTCCAAGCATACGCTCAGCAGTTCCATCCCCAAAAAAGCAAAATATTTTGAAAGAGAAAACATAAGGCCTAGAAATTAAAATTCACTCCAATGTTCCAGAACAAAGGATGCTACTTGGATTGACCATATGAAAAAGTCATCTGTTTATCAAATACATATCAGAGTTAAATGGAAGTATATTTTGGTGGCCATATATGTTGCATCATCCAATGAGAAGATGATCCAAATGTCTTTCCTCTTATAGTCTGTATTCTGTCAAAAGATATAGTAAATTCCTCAAGACCAGGAAGCCCAATGTAAAGGATGAATATTTACAGAAAAATCTATGCCCTTAGCCAGTGTCTACAGGTGTGTTTGCATATGTATTGGTGTGGGTATCCATGCATTCCTCTGAAGAATCCCTCAGATTAATTTTCTCATTGATTCATTCATTATGTCCAATCAAGGTAAGAATACAAGTGATAATCCCACCCAATCTGATTCACATTTGTCTTGGGAACTTTAAGAACTTATTTTGACTCTTCTATAATGCACTCAGCCTCACACCTCTAGAGAACAAAACTTCTGATGGAGCAAGCAATGACAAATCCTCTCAATCCGCAATGGATTTTGTCTCACAGATGGGCCCACCCTGAAGAAACTCACTCTTGGCACTTATCACAGGACAATGCTGTTGAGTATATACACAAAAGGTAGCTTAATGGTTTGTAGAGCTGTTTGATGAAGTTTGGATAAACTACCTTTCTGAATATCCACCTCTTTCAGCAAGCTTGTAAAATGTTCACTCACATCTGATGTATACCATTTAGTAAATGTATTAAACTGAATTAATTTCAAATGGTATTGCATTTTTGTGCTTATATTTAAACTATTTTGGGGAGGAAAGGAAGCCCCATAAACACAGGCCAAGGCCTTTAGTTCATTGCCACATTCAACATACATGTTAAATATAGCAATGGGCTAAAGGCATTAGCTTGTTTCATGGGATAGGACACCATTTGCAGGATGATCAGTCATTGTGAGAAGTCTAAGAATCAAAGTGGAATTCAGAAGACAAACAGAGGCTTCACACTCTACTTCTGTAACAGCAGCCTGAAACTAAGCTTGAAAGAATTAAATACTGTGTCATTTCCAGTCTCCCAAGTAAGCACTTCACATTTCTTCAGCAGGGAGAAGTTAAAACTGGGCAAAATTTCCATTGTTCCCCATCCTAAGACTGAAAGATCAGATAAGCTGTACATAATCATACCGAAAGTCTACTGTGTTGCAAAAAAGTTTTGTGGAAAAGGAGAATGCTGAGATCTGATCAATAAAAATAGGGAACAGGAGGCAGCAACAACTCCATAGCTGTAGAGTGTTTCCTTCTGTGCATACGCCACACCCAACCATGAAAACAACTGCCTCAGGTTTAATATTTCTTTTTACTTCCGAGCTATTTCCAAGTCAACAGAAATACAAATATCTGTGGATTGACCCAGGAAGGAAGGAAAAAAGCCCAGATATGCAATATGAATGCCCTTGTACAAAATTGTTTTGACATGCCTAGTACCCGTATCGGAAAAAAAAGATTAACAATAATTATAATAATAAAGATTGTGCTTTTCTCATTGCCTCTTAACCATCATTCACCATCCCCCCCCCCCTTTTTATTTTTAACATTAAAAGTTCTCCTGGGAAAATACCTGGAAGCACTTTTGAGCACACGCTGAAGCCAGGCGATGAAGAACCTGGCTGGACTCAGCCCGGTGGAATGTCCAAAATAAACAAGAACACAGCTATGAGCTACAGTGGGGTTAGGCAGCTTAGTGAATTAATTGCTTAAGAATTAAAAAATAAATTATTATAAAATAGATTTCTGTACATTTTACATATAGACCTATCTACATGTATAGGGGGAAAGGAAGCTGAAAGATAGGATCAACTCTGGGAAGTGCCGTCAATCCCAGCCAAAGTCATGGCCAGTCATCTGGTAGAACTTCATGTTGAACGGCCGATAGAATTCTCGCAGCCTTTGTACTACTTTCTGGTCAATATTGGGGTGGGTCCGTCCTTTCGTCTTGCCCAGGCAGTGGGGCTTGCTGCTGCCTTCTGCCTTTTTCAGGCATGGGAACCCCTTGGTTTTGTTGAAGTAGAAATGTTTGTCTGTGACGATCCTCTTGAGGCCCAGAAAGTCTTGGACACGGCCCAACTCACCTGCTGGATCACTGATTAGTCTCTCCCCACTGACAAAAAGGATTTGCCCAAGTGGGAAGTACAGGAGCCAATTTTCCAAATGCTTGGCATAAATGCCAATCTGGATGGCACTCCAGGAGGTATCGATCAAACCCGTAGTCCTGTTTTTGAAGGTCAGGTTCTCAAAGGATGGGATGTCTGGCTTCTTGGAAAGGGTTTGTGTGTAGTCAGAAATGGCTCGAGTGACCGGGTCCCTCACCACCACAATGAGCTTGGTGTCCTTTGACATAGAGGAGATCCGAGCTGGTGCTTCCTTAGTGACAAAGTAGCTGGGCGTCTTCTCCATGGTGATCTGGCCATCGAGAGTTCTTGGCATCAGTTCCCTGCAAAGAAAGAAAGAGATTAGCAGACTGATGAGAAAAATAAGGGCCTTGCTTCAAAAGTTTGTTCCTTTGTTTTTAACTATTCCTGCTCCTGGCAGTTTAGCCAATTCTTGCTACTGACCATTTGGCAAATTCACTCAGAGCCCCAAAGACAAAATATATCCAAACCTACCTGAAAGATTAAAACTGATGAAAATATTTGATTAATTTGAAATATACCAGAAAGTTGGGAAGGAAAACATATGTAAGCCAAACATGTTAAAAATGAACGATTTAAGAATTACATTGGCAAATGGGATATTAGATCTCACAGTGCTAATAAATGCAACATCTGACAGAAAGTTCCACTTAGGGAGGGTGAGATACGGATGGGTCTTTCTCTTTCTGTCCCATTTTTTTTCTGCCTTATATCTGCCCCACTATTACTTTACTCTTGTCCTCTATATCAAGAATAGTAAAACATTGTATGGATTAGACATTGTTCACCAAAGAAACACAAATGCATACACAAACATTCATTTCCTTATGCTATTTATTACTAATAGCTACACTTTTATTATTTTACTGAATTTTAATATTGCCTTGCATTCCATGTAGAGAACTCAAGATTCATGAGCAGATTAGAAATACAATTAAGTTTTCAATATTGTTGACCACTAGTCAAATACCTTGTTCTTTTTTTCCCTTCCAAATAGAAAAGATTAAATGGGCCAAATGATATGACCTAACTTGTAGGATGAAATTTCCCTCTGGCATTCCAAATTTCTTACACAAAGGAAAGAATAATAAGGAGTAACCAAACAGCTGACTTATCACATCTAGAAATTTACAGCCATTGTCATGGTTCTAATCAGTCTTTCCTGCTGTGTTGCTATCCAGAAGTCTAGGTTGCAACATTCAAGTTCAGAAGCCTGCAATATGGGTACCAATTTTTTGAGTTGCTTTCTGTATTACTTTGTACAAAGGAAGAGGCTTCTACACATAATCTTAAAATTTGAAGAGGCTAATTATAGTTCTTAACCAAGCAATTGGCAAAATCATTAATTTTTAAGCAAATAATTAACTGTGAATTGAGAAAGGAGATCTCTATTTGCAAAGAAGCATAAAGGATGCTGTTGAAATCAAATGGAGAACTGGAGTTGCAAAGGATTGCAGACATCACTGCTAAGTCTGGAGGCCTTTGGAGATTAGTTTTGGGAGGAGCCTACTGAATTTTAATCATTTTTGTAAGGACTAAACAGGAGTTTTCTCTCTCTCAACAACCAAGACACAAGCAGCTGAGCTAAACAACAAAACCACTGACATTTCTGCAATTTGTACTGGAAGGAATGAAATACATGTGTCTGCATTAATGTGTTTCTCTCTGTACATGAATAGAGAGCGGCTGGTATGTGCTTTGTTTTTGCTCTTGTGTGCTTTTGCATCAGTGTTGACTCCTGGTGACTGCCTGGACAAGTCCCTGCAGTATTCCTAGCAATGTTTCAGAAGGGGTTTGCCTTTGCTTTCTTTTTAGGGCAGAGAAAAATGGCCTGAGGTCACCCAGCTGGCTTTGTGCCTAAGGCAGGACTAGAATTCATGGTCTCCTTCTTTCTAGCCTGCTGCCTTAATAACCACTACACAAAACTGGCTTTCAATTAGCCACCACAATGGATTCTCAATGTTGTAGCAAGAGCTTTGCACAATGGCACAGAAATTGTGTGTGCCTGGGACATGCACACAAAAGAAAAAGCACCTACGTACAATAGCCAGATAGTAATAGCAACAGTGTCTGACTCACCCTGGTTAATTTCAGAAGCTGAGCAAGACTGAGCTGGTTAGGATTTGGATAGGAGATGACCAGGAAATCCCAGGGTTGTATTGGGATGTTTTAATATTATTTATTATTTTTACAGGAAATTAATCATAGTTGAAAATGTTTTTATTGTTGTTGTTGTTCTGTTGTTCTACTCTTTTTTGAAGTGTGGCTTCAGGGATGGATGGATGGATGGGTAGATAGGCAGGAAAAAACAAGACACAAATATGTGTGTGTGTGTTTGTGTATGTGTGGTGTCTGTGTGTGTGTGTGTGCATGGATATATACACAGATGTCACTTACACTTTTATTGGGAAAAGATAAATGTTCAGAATTAGTTTCAGCTGAGTTGCCTTTTTGGGAGTAACACAGTGTAAAAGTAAGATAATACACAAGATTTTTTTTCTGTTTGTATATATACATGCATATACACAGATGCTGTCTACTCTTTCTTTGGGAGATTTTGGTCAGATCGTCCCTGAACTGGGGACATCCAAATGTCAATCGCTGTCAGGCATCATGTTTTAGGCCCACAAGCAGCTCTCAGCCTCATTGTATATACGTACCTTCAGAATCCCAAAATCTGCACTCTTGCAAAAATGGTAGGATGTTGCTAAATTAGCTTATGTGAAAGTTAAGGACAGGATGGGAGGGAGGGAGGGAGGGAGGGAGGGAGGGAGGGAGGAAGGAAGGAAGGAAGGAAGGAAGGAAGGAAGGAAGGAAGGAAGGAAGGAAGGAAGGAAGGAAGGAAGGAAGGAAGGAAGACCAAAATGAAGCAGAATACTGAGCCTCACTCAACTTGGTTCTGGTTTCTGATACTTAATTCAATTCGATTTATATAATTGGCATGTGTCAATCCTCCAATATATTGTCATCTCTAATTTTGCTAGATGATCAGCTGGATCAGACTCTTATCAAGTGTTTAAAATGGTATAAATGTGTGGCCATAATAAACAGAAGCAACAAAGAAGCTCTAAGGCTAACTGGCCAATATTTTGGCAGGAGAAGCAGGACTATCCTACAGATCCAATGGAACTGCCTCAGATAGTAACAGGCTATGTGGTTTAAGATTTCCTCTACAAGATGCTGGCATGGGTGCAGCAATGTACTGTACTTAGCCTGCCAAAGAATTAATCTGCTTTGCCCATTAGCTACCTAGTCTTCATAACTTAAGTATTCTGCTCAGACAGTTCTAATCTCCAGAGGTCTTTGGTTTAAACATACAGAAACCTTGAGTGGAGGAAACAAGTTCTTCAAGAAAAATGTCACCTTGTTGTGATGTGAGGAAGAGTTCAGAGACGATAAGGCATCAAGGCAGATGACAGGTGGCCATGTGGTAATCCAATCATAGAAAGCCTAATACCTCTTGTGACAGCTTTCTGTCTGCCCAGAGGGATCCTCCTCTAATCTGTTGACATTTCTCAATAAAGAAAATTGAGCGGGAAGGACTTTGTTAAGAAAGAGAGCACTGGATGAGGAGAAGTGCTCTACATGCTGTGACTATGTCAAGCTTACAACAATAAGATGGCACATATTGACAGCTACACTCCTGAGCTTCTACTGCAGCTCCTAAAACTGTGGCAAGTGGGTTGCAGAGACAATCCATGTTGATGGACTTTCTTACAGAAAATCCAGGATAGATGGAAACACATTCACTTCAACAGCAGACAAAGAACAGGATAAAAGAGGATCTGATATAAATGCATGAGTCATTTTCTATTTTCTCATTTTTTTAAAGAAATGGCTAACAGAAGATATGGCCACTTGTTTGTCTGAGAAATCCACCAATCTTATTTTCCTTCTGAGGTTTCTCAAATATTAGTCAACCATTGGGTAATCCACTGTCGCCTTATTTAGTTTCACAGTGAAGGAAATGATAGGATCTTCTCCACTGAAGTAATAAAATGAGGAATAAGATGCAGGGCCTACAGCTGTGGAAGGGGCAAAAGTTTCATCACTGACTCCCAAGCTAGAGGAGTGCAAACATATTTCGAAACTGAAATGTTCTAACCCCAAGAGGTTGTCCAACCTGTTCCAAGGTCAAACCATTTCCAGAACATGCAGAAAGTTTTGCTCCTTTGTTCATCTTTGAAATGTTTTCAACATCTATTCCCAGCAGCAGTAAATTAAAGTGCCATCAGCTGCTTCTTAGATATAATGGAAGGTTTCCAGTTATCCCAAAAATACAAGGAGCATATTGAAGTGGGGTCAGAAAACTATCCAAAAATCATTTAAGAAGCAGTCTTGAAAATTAATTGACACAGTGGTCATAAAGAAATTCTTGGAAGAAGGTTGCCAGTCCATGTTGATGAAATCACATATTATAAAGGGAAGAAGGAATGGCCTTGAGGGACAGGAGGAAATGTGCCTTCCAAGACAAAGGTCAGATAAAAGAGAACTGAGTCTGGGGCAGGAATGTATCTTGAGTAAACAACTCAACAAAACTTTCCTAGTTCACTTGGAAGATAAAGGTAGGGAGGGATGAAGTACATTCAGACTTGCAAGATTCTGTTACTATAACTTTACAATAAAATTAGTGCTGATCAACATAATGTTGGATTCCTACTCTGATCTACCTTGAAGGGATATCCATAGTCTTGCTGATTGAGTCACTGTGTTCAGATATTTTTGTTTTGTCCTCCCATGGATATAAGACTAGGAAAATAACTTAGCCGGCATCAGGACTCTCCTAGTTGAAGATACTTTCAAGAAATAAGGGGTAATAACTTTATTATCACTTTGAATGCACCCTAATCGGCATACATTAAAATGAAATTTCATTGCATACAGCTGTCAAAGGGTCACCATCTCCAATATACACTACATAAATAATGCAAAAATAAATACAGAATTATGCATATACCTACATATATTATATGACACAGAGAAACAACTCAATCTAGTTAGGATTATGTATACATGTGCATGGTGAGAAAAATGAATCTTGCGAGTTTACCAGACCAAGGGCATAGGGAACAAAGCTGTTACAGAATCAGGTAGACCTGCTAGAAATACTTCAAAACCTCCTCCCAGGGGAGCAACAGAAACAGATTGTAAAGTTGGTGTGTGGCGTCTCTAACAATGCTTTGAGCTCTAAACACATAGCACTTATAAGCAGCATCCTCTAAACACATAGCACTTATAAGCAGCATCCAGCAAGCTTCTTATGATCTTTTCGGCTGTCCTTATCAATCTTTGTATGGACTTT